GTACATACATTGCATTATTGCCTTAAAATTTTCATCCTTAAGGTAGTATATATTTATCATGTTTCTGTTCATATAATGCAATTTTCGTAAAGAGTAATGTTGGTAACAATTCCAGCACTGTATGTAACAAACTATATTTTATTCCATTAGTTGCAAATGCTAACCCCGTCTGTTCACACAGTAAACTACTGCAGGTGCTCTGTGATTGGAATGAGTTTTTAAACATGGGTGGTGTAGTTGTTCATCATTTAAAGTATAGATTTCATATATGCCTTTAAGTAGAAAAGCTTTCCCTTGGTGACAGATTCACTTTATTTGTGCATAGTTGCTGCAGAAGTTCTTACAGTTTTCTTCTGGGCATAGCTCCTGTACACCAATCCACCACTTTTCCTTTTGTTGGTGATCTGCTGGTATGAGAATCTGTGCTTGTCATGCTGTAAGTATTGCTAAATACATCTACTGCAGTCTGCTTGCAGTTCCTGTCATACAGAGGATGCAGAACTTTCATACTCCAAACATAGATTTAAAGGCTAAGTCCATCTTTCTGACTGTGTTTTACTTTATACCTATATTTAAAGCGGGGCCCCACCCAAAGGGGGAAGTTCTGCTTTGAGGCTTAGTCTCCGCTCTCCCTTAAGGATTGACACCTTTGGGGAACGGGGGGGTGGGGGGGTACCCGAATTTGACAGGTACCCTCTCCCATTTCTGCTGCGATCAGAAGCAGAAGTTGTCCCCTCCACGTAGTATTCTGGAACACATGACAGTTCCCAGAAGACTATTCAGAAAGCGCAGCACTACTGGCACATGTGCAGTGGGCACCCAGCTGTGACAGCTTGCGGCTTGCCCACACTGAAGATGTTGGCGCTGGGGACACAGGACAGCCGGTGAACCTGGCTGGTGTGAAGATACTGCAGGATAGAGGGACAGGTGAGTGTTTGTTTTTGTAGCTGCTGACTTTTATTATTTTTTTTTTACTTTGACTGGACCTCTCATTTAAGGTATAACAAAAAAACATGGTCACAGTTTATACACCCCCTCTTACTGAATCTTGGGTTTTTTAGAGTGCCCATGTTTTTTTTTTAATTTAAATTTGGAATGGCGGTGTGTGACATCATTCATTCACAGGTTATGTGATTGAGAAAAATCACATCTGTCACCACAGACAAGTGTAGTCAAATCACCGCATTTGAAGTCCATTGATACTTCCTCCAGACCCGTGACCAGAGGGCTGCAAGAACAGTGACCTGAGCATTGCAACCCCATTCTATTGATCAAGGTTGTAATGCTTTGCAAGCTGCAATGCAAACAAATAATAAATGCACTTTTTGTGGGAGTATTTATTTATTTATTTTTTAAGGTGTAATTAACCTTTAAGGAAGTACAACTCTGGTGACTTTGTGTTGTGTCCTCTGGTTTCTCGCTGCAGTGCTCACAGAAGTCCAGGCAACTATATAAAACGCCATTTAACTCAGTTATGGATTCACTGGGTATCATTGTATTAATTTAGTAGGATTTTTACATACAGTTAGCAAGCATACCTACATACATCCTCACATTAGCTTTCTGAAATTCCTTGTACAGCAGCACATTGTAGCACCCTCCTAGTTGATGGAGCTAGCTAATTATTTTTTTTAGATAAAAGGCTGAATAGCAGCCTGTGGGATAGTCAGAGGGGTCAAATTAAGGTCAGGGCTGAGAGGCTCTGCAGATCAGCTTACTGGTGCCTCCCCCTGATCTAGAGACTTGGAGAAGACTCTAGAACTCAGTGGGTGGGGGTGGGGGTGGGGGAGGGGCTGGTCTGCATACTTAGAGAATACTGACCATTCCCCAGGCAGGAAATGCTTGGCATGGGGTTGGGATAGCCTTTAAGTAGCAGGAGAGTTCAGGTGGAAGATGGAGTGGGAGGAAGAGATGCATGAACCTGGGAGGAGGCCCAGTGGGAGGTGGCCTATCTACAGGTGGGAAGATGGAAAGGAGGACCACTCAGACCTCATCTGCCCCCCCAGTGTGAGGACCACCTGTGGAGCCATGGAAAGAGCAAGCCCATCGGAAGGCTTGAAAGCAGCTACCGACCCACCAGCTCCCAGGAAAAGGACTGAGTGAGTAAATGTGCACCTCCTGTACTAGACAAGGGGAAAGAGCATTTGGGTGGGAAACCTGACTCGCTTTATACCCGGGACTATGCATTTTACAGTAGCAGCCACTGGATCCCCTTTGCTCAGGGATTCCACCAAATTGCTGGATAGAAGAGGATTTGTCAGGGATCTGAGGTTGTACGAGAGCTGGAGAGCTCTCCTAGAAGATGAAACCCTTCTTTGTGGACTTGTACATAGTTGTTAGGACGTTGTCCTCAGTTTGCAGTTCCTTGGGCAACCCATGCATCCCTCAACCCTTTCCATGTTTACTACCCCTCATATAACTTACAAAAAAAACAAGTTCAAGGACTGTTTACTGTCTCTGAAGTGCAAACATGAAAGAAAATCCATGTTGTCTGGATATGCGGGACTATAGGGGGACCCAAAATCTTCAGCGATTCCTAACTAGTGTCCAAAAAGTGCAATGACCTCATCATTGTGCTGCTACTACGTCACAGTTCAGTAACAGATTGGGGGAATTTCATTAAAAGCTTCATTCATATGCAAAAGTGATGGCATAAAAACACCAGTGAATATTTTACCATTATATACAGTGCATCCAGAAAGTATTCACAGCGCTTAACTTTTGCCACATTTTGGTATGTTACAGCCTTATTCCAAAATGCATTAAACTCATTTGTTTCCTCAACATTCTACAAACAATACCCCATAATGACAATGTGAAAGAAGTTTGTTTTGAAATCTTTGCAATTTATTAAATATAAAAAATGAAAAATCCACATGTACATAAGTATTCACAACCTTTGCCATGACACTCAAAATTGAGCCCTGGTGCATCCTGTTCCCACTGGTGCATCCTGTTTCCACAACTTGATTGGAGTCCACCTGTGGGAAATTCAATTGATTGGACATGATTAGGAAAGGCATAAACCATGATTAGGAAAGGCATAAATAAGGTCCCACAGTTAACAGTGCATGTCAGAGCACAAACCAAGCCATGAAGTCCAAGGAATTGTCCGTATACCCCCGAGACAGGATTGTATCAAGGCACAAATCTGGGAAGGGTAAAGAAAAATTTCTGCAGTATTGAAGGTCCCAATAAGCACAGCAGCCTCCATCATTCATAAATGGAAGAAGTTTGGAGCCACCAGGAATCTTCCTAGAGCGGGCCGCCCAGCCAAAATGAGCAATCGAGGGAGAAGGGCCTTAGTCAGGGAGGTAACCAAGCACCCGGTGGTCACTCTGAAAGAGCTCCAGCATTTCTCTGTGGAGAGAGAAGAACTTCCAGAAGAACAACCATCTCTGCAGCACTCCACCAATCAGGCCTGTATGGTAGAGTGGCCAGACGGAAGCCACTCCTCAGTAAAAGGCAAATGGCAGCCCTCCTGGAGTTTGCCAAAAGGCACCTGAGGGACTCTCAGACCATGAGAAACAAAACTCTCTAGTCTGATGAAAGAAAGATTGAACTCTTTGGCCTTAATGCCAAGTGTCATGTCTGGAGGAAACCAGGCACCGCTCACCACCTGGCCAATACCATCCCTACAGTGAAGCATGGTGGTGGCAGCATCATGCTATGGGGATGTTTTTCAGCGGCAGGGAGACTAGTCAGGATCGAAGGAAAGATGAATGCAGCAATGTACAGACACATCCTTGATGAATCCTGTTCCTGAGCGCTCTGGACCTTGAGACTGGGGCGACTGTTCATCTTTCAACAGGACAACGACCCTAAGCACACAGCCCACATAACAAAGGAGTGGCTACTGGCAAACTCTGTGAATGTCCTGGAGTGGCCCAGTCAAAGCCCAGACTTGAACCCGATTGAACATCTCTGAAGAGATCTGAAAATGGCTGTGCAGCGACGATCCCCATCCAACCTGATGGAGCTTGAGAGGTACTGCAAAGAAGAATGGGAGAAATTGCCCAAAAATAGGTGTGCCAAGCTTGTAGCATCATACTCAAAATGACTTGAGGCTGTAATTGGTGCTAAAGGTGCTATTACAAAAGTATTGAGCAAAGGCTGTGAATACTTATGTACACATGTTTTTTTTTTCCATTTTTTATTTTTAATAAAGTGTAAAGATTTCAAAACAAACTTCTTTCACATTGTCATTATGGGGTATTGTTTGTAGAATGTTGAGGAAAAAAATGAATTTAATCTATTTTGGAATAAGGCTGTAACAAAATGTGGCAAAAGTGAAGCACTTTGAATACTTTCTAGATGCACTGTAGATGTATTATAATTCCATCAGATCATATTTATACTTGTTAGCCCCCGTACCTTCAGCAATAGCTTCAAATTAGATATTTCTTGTCATGTTAAAGTAAAAAAAAAACTCCCACTGTAGCAAACATAACCCCTGAATGTAAACATTGCTCTGGTCATGAAAGGGCAAAACCCTCTGGCTGTTCATTGGTTAACTACTAAGTAAATACCAGCCATAAATTTACTGCATGCCTGTATACAGAATAGTACTGCCCTCACACTGCATTTTACACCATGAACTTTGGTAAGGAGAACAGCAACAAAAATATCCTCTTTCCAGCCTAGAAGAAAGGAAATGTCAACAGCTTTTTTTTATCTCTCATCAGTATACTTAAGGTTTACCTCCCAGTTAGTAACACTTGTCTGTGATTTTCGGGATTCTATAATGAAGACTGTTCAACACTGTAACTTATATAATTTACCATGGTTGCACAAAGCAGTCTTTATTTGCTGCCCCTAACTACCCTTTTGCAACCTAACCTTTATATTTTATATTCGGGTTTATTTAGTAAAACTGAAGAGTACAAAATGTGGTGCAGCTCTCTATAGAAACCAATCAGCATCCACATTTTATTGCCAAAGCTTAATTGAACAAGCTGAAGTTAGAAGCTGATTAGCTACCATGCAGGGGCGGACTGACCATTCGGAAACTCGGGCGCCGCCCGAGGGCCCGGGGTCAGTAGGGGGCCCCATGAGATGCCCCTGGTACCTTTTTCATAGGCTTTTTGAGTTTGGACAAGGACACAGGGGCCCCATGATTCCCTATTGCCCGGGGGCCCCATGAGTTGTCAGTCCGCCCCTGCTACCATGAACAGTTGTGCCATAGTCTGAGAGCACCAGTCTAAGTAAATCTACTCCATTGCGTCGTAGAATTGATAGATCCTTCATTAACTTGCCTTCTGTATCTTACCATATGATACAATATACTGGACACGCCCTAATAACTGGATGCTTATATTGTCAATGTTGTTTATGTCTTTATAAATAAAAGGCAATAGTAATAATTCATTTGTAGTGCTGAAATGTTTCCCACCTACTGTAACTTTGCATACATTTTGGACATTAAGTAAATCTCAACAGCCACTGATCTATTGGCTTAAAATGTATAAACCCGAGGTAACTTGTGTATCATCACAGCCTACTCTGTTTGTTCTGTTGCTGAATTGTTTGGCATACTATTAGGCTAGGTTCACATCGTGCGGATGGTGCCGCTGCAGATCCGCACAAAACTCTGTGCAGCCGCACCACCCGCACAGAGGAATGCAGACCCGTGGGCGGGTGCCATTAGTTCTAATGGCACACCGCCCGTACTGGAAAACGCAATCATACTGGGAATCGAGGTTCCCATGTGGGCTGCGTTTTCATAAGAAGTGCAGGGACTTCTTCTTTGCGTGTCACGGGGCACGGGAGTCCATTCAAATGAATGGACTCTTGTGCCCGCGCAAAATGCAGCCCACATGGCTGCATATATGTGAACCAGGGCTTATACTTTTTACTGGGCCAATGTTGAGTTACCACCTGTCTACCTTTGCACAATGATTTCCTTTTGTTTTGGAATTATAAAAAAATTTCTAATAAATTCGTGAAAACAAAATGTATACACCCAAGAACAAAAATTTAATATTTTGTAGTTTACCAGCCCTAGGATGTGATATCTGCATTAGTTTATTTATTTATTTTTTGGAAGGCTTTTTTATTTTCATCTGATGATCCTACTAGTAACAAGTTTCCTGTTCTAGAATGACAATGTTCACTCACTGCACTGTCTTTATGGAGAAGCAGTGTTGTCACCCTAGTATAGACAATGTGTTAGAACTACAGAACACCTCCCCTCTATTTGTCTCCATAACATGAAGGTGGAGGAGTTCTGTAGTCCACAAATGTGAACTGGGAAGGGCTGATAGCACTGCTTGATACTGCATAGAGCAGAAAACGTTAATAGCTCACTGAATTACTGACATGATCAACAGCAGTCTTTGCACTTATCAAACATACATAACAAAACACTTTCAATGGTACAGTTAAAGACCACAGCAGAGCTGATATTCATTGTTAAGATTTACATACATTTAACAAATCAGTATTCCTACAGCAATCAAGGAAAGGCAACCACAGTATAGGACCAGTTCCAGTTTGCAGGAAGCTACTTAAAGTGATTGTAAATGTTCTTTTTCTTAAAATAATAAATGTGATACCTGCTCTGTGTATAGGTATTGCACAGAGCAGCCCCAAACTTCCTATTCTGGTGTCCCCTGCTGGAACTCCAGGCTCCTCCTCTTCTGCATGTGCTACTGCCTATGGTGGCACATGTGCATGCTCTGTCCTGAGCTGGGCTCGGCCCTGCCCCCAGTTCTGTCCCCATTTGTTTTGATTGACAGCTACAGCAGCCAATGGCTCCTGCTGCTGTCGGCCAAGCCTGAAAGAGCGGAGAGAGGAGAGAAGACCATCACTGGATACAGGACTTGGGTAATTATTTAGGTATGGGAGGAGAAAGAAACAGGCACTGAAAGGGTTTTTTTTACCTTAATGCATAGAATGCATTAAGACAAAAAACCTTATGACTTTAGAACCACTTTAACTAATCCAAATAATGTGTGCCTTAGGTAGGCACCTGTGATGACCTGGGTAGACCCTACTCCCATGGTGGGAATTTAACCCAACTTGAATGGTAAGACCAGACAAAGCATTGACATTAGGCAGTTTAAAGAAAATTAGGTAAACTGTTCCTGAATTTTAAATGTAAATGACAAGCTAAACCGCAAGGATCCTATGAATCATATACTTACAGTATATATAGATATACAGTATGTAGCTGAGTGGATATTTAAATACTTGTGGTTTTGTTACAGGTTGTCAAAGCTGCAGCCTTGCTGTTGTCACAGACCCCAGGTGAGGCATCAAGAGAAGAAGGTTTCTAATCACGTAACAGTGGCAGAGGTTTGCTCCACCTCGTACATCATCTGTCCTGTGAATTCAGGAGGAAGAATTAAATGAGTGTTAGAAATGACAGTATTTATCTACTGAAGCATATGCCTGTTTTTCTACTATATGTTGATAACCTGGAATAATTAACCATTTACAAGCTGAACACATGAACATCAACTAATTATTATAGCAGTTAATTTGTCAAATGTATTTCATTTAAAATGTTCGCCCCTTGAGGGTTAGGGACTGATGTGAATGTACAATATATTTGTAAAGCACTGCGTAAATTGGTGGCGCTATATAAGTACCTGTAATATATAAGTACCTGTAATAAAATAAATGTTTAACAATTTTGCTAGCTGTTACATCATTTATGATATTTTACTGAGCAACCAACATTTTAAATACATTTTGAAATGGATATAAGCTTTTTATGATATTTTTTTTATCCTAAAACATTACATGGTGTGGGCAATTGGTAGAATGTTCCTAGTGGTTGAATCTTATTTCTTTGATTTTATGCTAGGCATAAATTGCACTGCTTGTACGCTTCTCTATTTGCATCTAATTCATTTGTCCATGTGTACTTATATTTACCATAAAGGTTAAAGGTGCAGTCCACCAAAATGGATATATATATTTTTTTAATATCAGTCATAGATTATGCTTGTGAGATATATGCACTTCTGTTTTTAGATCTCTAAACCTGCTGAGATTTTTAATATTGGTTTCAGATGTTTCTGATGGATTTTTTTCATGAGTAATGCAACAGGAAGTACAGAAACACTCAAAAAGTGGGCAAGGAGATCTCACTGTTAAGAGTCTCTAAAATATCTTCAACTAAAACATCATATTTTTGATGGACTTACCTTTTAAATAACTAAAAGGTATATAGACAATCTTTTCTTGTTCTAAGATAAACAAGACACTAAGGGTCGGTACACACACTACCGCGACTTGGGATCCTAATTGTGAGACCCCAAGTTGCATGACATGTGAAATCGCATGTTAGTCAATGAGAGCTGTCTTAGCACTACTGAAGTCGCTCCGACTTTAGAAAAGGTTCCTGTACTACTTCAAGGCTTGCACCCATAGACTTTAATGGAAGTCGCCTCCAAGTTGGATCCTCAGCTATATTGATGTGATTTGGATCCGACATGACAGGAAAATTACCCAGGCATTACCTGCTTCAAAGTTGCTTCAGAGTTGCTTCAAAGTAGTACTCATGTTTTCTGGAAAGTTGCATTGTAAGTCGTGCGACTTTCAGGTCGCAGTAGTGTGAGCCTACTATAACGGTTACTTGTTTTGATTAAAATGACAAATAAGACTGGGTCTTGTAGCTACCTGAGGGGATGATAACAAGCATTTTAGGGGTGATAACAGAATTCTGGCCAAAGAATGCATAAGCGCAAGACATCGGAATGTGCATTAACGTGCATGTAAAAACGCAGCTTTTTACTGCATTTTTGATTCTGAAAACTCATGTAGCTAAAAAAACATTTTTCATCTTTTCAGTGTGCATGAGACCTTAGATTGATATCAGTGACTCATGCAGATAGGAGAGAGATCAGAGAGGAATAACACTTGGTGCTTTGGATTCATGGTAGTACACACTATAACGCTGTGTTCATTTTTCACATCTGAGGTTTACAACCACTTTAGGGCAACTGATGCCCTAAGCACAGCTTAACAGTAGGGCAACGGTTTGCTCTCAGTTGCCTGACATGACATTTAAACTCATTAAGTGCTGTGAAATAAATGTTTGAAGATTTATAAACTTTCTTCAGTTGTCTTCCAGGTCACCCTCAGTCCAGACCCCACAACTGTTGCTTAATGGTTAATCCAACTCTGGCACAGCCAGGAAAGAGAGGTCCAGAGACGGAGGACCTGCAACACAGGGTGTAAATAAACTATGCAGGTTGTAGCATTTGGGCCTTGGTATGTATAAATCTGTGAAGAGGGAGGTTCGTATCAGTTAACTCAGGGAAAAGAATAAGTGTACTTTTTTTTAAAAGTGCATTTATTCTTCAATGCCATTATAGCTAGGAGAAAACTCTGGTGTCCCCTTCCCTTGGTGCCTCACATGCTTATTTTGATTAATGGTTAATCCAGCCCTGATACATTGGTTTTTGTTGTGGTACATTGGACCCCTTATGAATACTTGGTACATTTAATGTTGGTATTTGTGTCTTTAGCTATTATATTTTAGCTATATTCTTGGTTTTCTTATGCAAATATCAGGGATGTAGTACATCCCTGGTATATGACTTCTACACACCAGTTTTAATGACTTCCTTGTACAGTTGTGTTCAAAATAATAGCAGTGTGTTGAAAAAATTGTATAAAGCTCAAAATCCTTCTAATAGCTTTTATTTCCATACACACAAATGCATTGGGAACACTACACATTATATTTCAAATCAAAACATGAAGAAAAATATATCAAATTTGTGTTGTTCCTCTAAAAAAATTGAAGAAAAGTAAACATTAGACTGTTCAAAAAAATAGCAGTGTTTGTATTCTTCTTTACAAACTCAAACATTCACTATATAAACTGAAAAATGTTTGAAGATTTTGCTTTCCTTTGAGTCACTTAATGAATATTTAGTTGTATAAGCACTGTTTCTGAGAACTGCTGTACATCTGTGTTGCATGGAGTCAACCAACTTCTGGCACCTGTGAACAGGTATTCCAGCCCAGGATGATTGGACTACATTCCACAGTTCTTCTCCATTTCTTGGTTTTGCCTCAGAAACTGCATTTTTGATGTCACCCCACAAGTTTTCTATTGGATTAAGATCCGGGAATTGGGCTGGCCACTCCATAACGTCAATCTTGTTGGTCTGGAACCATGATGTTGCACGTTTACTGGTGTGTTTGGGGTTGTTGTCTTGTTGGAACA